CGTGGGGCTTGCTCCTTCTTTCCTATCAAACATCCATCGCCCTCATCTCTCCTCCTTCTTTCCTATCAAACATCCATCGCCCTCATCTCTCCTCCTTCTTTTTTGTGTATGTTACTGTCTTGTAACACATCTATTCCCCCGCACTTATTTTACCTTATTGTGTTGCAAGTACCGTAACATTCTTACAAAAAGCTAAAAACTAAAAATTGACGAGCGCCTGATTCCACCGTTTCGTGACAAAACTACCCGTGGATGTCTGTCTGGAAAGCGCAAGTGTTAGGTTTTTGTCTTGCTTCTTGACTAACTGTCCCTCAGTTGTTTCTGTCTGTCTGATTTACTTTTTGTTTCTGAGCGCTAGATCTAGTTCTAAATCAATGACAGTTGTTGTATTGTTGGCTTTTTTCTAAGTCTCACACAGTCATGTCATTCTTGTCAGACGTAAATTCAGGTGCACGCACGCACAAACACACACGAAAACACACCCACACATAATTACACACACATACACACACACACACACACACACACACACATACACACATACACACACATACACACATACGTATACACACAAAACAACTACATACATAAAAAACTACACCACACCACCCCCACACACACATAAAACTACAAACACACAAACACAAAAAAACAACACACACACAGACAAATACACACCAGCAAGCGCACGTTCTAGATCTATGACACAAGAATAAATCTAGAGAATCTAATCTAGAACATTCACTTACCTCAGTCTAGTTCCGTGTAGAAAAAAAAACCGTTTTGGTTTTTCCATACGATACTCCCCTTTCTCAGAACACGACACACTACACAACAAGCCACACCTGAATCACGTAATATCTAAATATATAATGTAGATCTAGATAGATTTACACGAAGGCCACCATGGTTTTTCAAAGACTTCTTGGCTCTCCCAAACTGTGCACGTCCTGGGAAATTCGCCTGGTTTGGTGCAGCAGACAACAACAGTTGGTAGACTAGCAGCGCCGCCTAGCAGAACGGGCAGTCGGGCACGGCCAAAGGCAAGGGAGGTACTGACGTCACAAATTAAAAACCCGGTACACTTGATCCTGCTAACCGGGTGGGGTATTCGAGTCGTGTAATCGACACTGCGGAATATCCGTGGAATTCGATCATCGCGATACTGTCGCCCTGCTCTCTCCTTGTGCTTTTGGAAGGGAGAGAAAGGGGTAATCGGAGATGTGTGTGTGTGTGTGTGTGTGTGTGTGTGTGTGTGTGTGTGTGTATGTGTGTGTGTGTGTATGTGT